CATCAGAGGCTAGTAGTGTTGATGGTGGTGGTGGTGGTAATGGAGCCTAGTTTGGGAGAAGGGGACCTGTGATTTGAGTAATGATGGTGCCAGCAATAGAGTTAGAGTTGGGTAATGGACATACAGGTAGCGAATGTTGATGGTGGCGGTATGGTAATGGGAGATATTATGCCACTTTGGGTTTAAGGGTACATGAATGAGAAGAAATGCAGAAGATGCCACCTGGAGTTGGTGAAAATGAGCTTGTATCATGTGTCCCTCTGACCTATGGCCACTTTCCTATGACCATGCGGCCTCCCCTCCCCCATCACCTCATCACCATGAACTGCTAGGGACTTAGAAGATCATCCTGACCATTCTTCTATCTTGGGTTAGTCTCAGCTCTTATTCTGGCCTTGACTCCTGATTAGCCAGTGGGAAAATCTCAGCAGGCCCCTGTGTCTGATGATCAGAGGCACAGTCTCCACACTCCCACCCTGTCTCTCTTCTCCAGGGTAATCCCCAAGGGTCTCTCTCTACTAACAAAGCCCCCTCCAATGTCCTTGATCTTGTGGCTCCTCTCTAGCCCCTGACTGAGAAACCTTGATGAAGTTGCTTATTTCTCTGGGTCCCTGTCCTTAGAGCTCTCTGGGCCATAGGACAGAAAAGAGAACTCTCTTTCTCGGGAAGTAGAGAGAAGGTTGGCCAGGATCTGGGCAAGTCCTCACCCATGGAGCATCAGGCAGGCTCATATATTTTATGAAATCCATTTCACATAGTATATGAAATGTCCAAAAAGGCAAATCTATACAGAAACAGAAAGTAGATTAGTGGCTGCCTAGGGTTAGGGTTGACTGTTAATGGATAAGGCGTTTCTTTTGGGGGTGATAAAAATGTTCTAAAATTGATTGCGGTAACGGTTGCACAACTCTATGAATATACCACAAACTGCATTTTAAGACATATTGTTGGGTATCAAAATTATGTTTCGGAAAGCAAGTGTACTTATGGGGAGGACAGGGAAAGAGGGAGGGAGAGAACTATGATTATTTTTTCAAGATTGTATTATTTATTTGACAGAGAGAGAGAGCACGCACAAGCAAGGGCAGCGGCAGGCAGAGGGAAAGGGAAAAGCAGGTTACCTGCTGAGCAGGAAGTCCAATATGGGGCTCAATTCCAGGACCCCGAGATCATGACCAGAGCTGAAGGCAGACGCTTAACTGACTGAGCCACCCAGGTGCCCTGGGAGAGAGGTATTATAAACATAAGAAAGAAGTCATTGAGACGTCTGGCTGGCTCAGTTGGTAGAGCATGTGACTCGATCTTGGGATTATGAGTTTGAGCCCCACGTTGGGTGTAGAGATTACTTAAAAAATAAAATCTTTCAGGGGCGTGTGGATGACTCAGTCGCTTGGACATCCGACACTTGGTTTCCATCCCAGTCATGATCTCTTTATTGGTAGGATCAACTGAGCCCCATGTTGAGTTCCCTGTTCCCCACCCCAGCTCCATGATCAGCAGGGCACCCACTTGAGGATTCTCTCCCTCTGCCCCTCCCTCCACTTGCACACACGCTCGAGAGCACTCTCTGTCTCTCTCTCAAATAAATAAATAAATCTCAAATAAAACAAAATAAAATCTTAAAGAGAGAGAAGAAGAAGCCATTCATAGGAGTTACCTCTAGATGATTAGATTCATGGATGAGGGGACTTTACTATTTTATTTTATATACTGTTTACATTTGCCTTTATACTCTAAATATGATCTGTTTTTTACTTTTTTTTTTTTTTAAGATTTTATTCATTCACTTGACAGAGAGCACAGGCGGGGGAGCAGCAGGCAGAGGGAGAGGGAGAAGCAGGCTCCCACCAAGCAGGGAGCCTGAGGCAGGGCTCAATCCCAGGACCCTGGGATCAAAACCTGAGCTGAAGGCAGACGCTTAACAATGACTGAGCCACCCAGGCGCCCCTTGACTATATTTTTTAAAGATTATTTATTTACTTGAGAGAGAGAGAGAGAGCCCATGCACATGTGGTGGGGGGGTAAGAGGGGTAGAGGGAGAGAGAGTCTTGAGCAGACCCCCCGCGAGCAGAGTCTGACTTGGAGCTTGATCCCAAGACCCTGAGATCAAGGCCCTGAGCTCACCAGCTGCATGGAAACCAAGAGTCAGCCGCTTAATTGACTGAGCCACCCAGGCGCCTCTGCTTTTGACATTTTTAAACAAGAAGGAAGCTGAAAGCATGTGGCGATCCCTCTGAAGTCTGGCAAATTAGGACCTAGAGCCCCCGGCACGTGTGTCAGAAGCAAGGGAACCCCGGGGGCAAGGGCAAGAACAGGAGTCAGTTACACGTGTTCTGGAACATCAGAGCTAGAGCTACATGTGTGTGGTTTTCTTGGAGGGAAAGCAGAACTTCCGAGCTAGGCCCCTTTCCCTCTGACCCCAGGCACAGCCAGGAGTGTGTCCTGGGACGGAAACTGTGTATGGCCTCGGTGAAAATTTCACACCCGCTGAAATAGGGTCCAAAAGGCAAAAGGTACAACAAGTACCCTGCAGAAAGCTTCCCCTCCCCCACCCCAGCCCCTCTCCCTGAAGCAAACCAGACTCCTCTCACTCGTGCAAACAGCCGCACAGCATACACTCCGCTCTCCCACATACTCTCATTCTGGGAGGCTAGTCCTTAGGCGTGTAAAAGCACATGCACCCCCTTCACCGTGGAGCCCCACAGTACCCTGCGATGGGGCCCCCACCGTACGGGAGGCCACGCTTTCCGGATCAGCCCCAATCAGGGGACATTCAGACTGCTTCTGAACGTTTTTAAAAGAAGGCTCCACGCCTAACATAGGGCCTGATCCCACGACCCCAAGATCAAGATAGCAGATGAGTCTGTGCCAGTTTAACGAGAAAGCTCCCATTTTTAGACGTTTTGAGTGTGAGATCGCGGCTGAGGCTTTGTTGAGTTCCGTGCAGTATACCGCGGTGAGTAACTTTGCACACATGGAATTTGGCAAGTCTACCCGGCCCTCTACAGGACACATGTCTAGAAGTGGAGATGCTAGGTCACAGGCTACATTCATTTATAATTTCTACAGATGTTGCTAGAATAATGGCCATGGTTTCTCTTTGCCTGGGAGCTGCTTAGCTTTGTGGTTTTCCAAACACTCCTTTGTGGCTGTTAACTTCAGGGCAATGAAAATTCCTCCTCCCTCCCTCTCGGCTGGCTGGCACAAAGCGGGACTCAGTCTCCCGCCCTTGGAGAGACAGCCAGGGGAGCTGAGCACGGCAGGCTCTGCAGTCAGAGACAGAGGGCGGCCCAGTGTGACCCTGTATCTGTCCTGTCCTCAGCTTCTGTTTCCAGCTCTGTAGAGACAATCTGCTTCCACGATGGTTCCTACCTACTTGTCCACCAACCCGCACTCTTCTTCCCCACTGCCCACCCCTAGCCCCAGGACCTGGGCTTTGCCCTCCTCCCCAAAGAAAGAAGAGTCCAGGCCAACAAAACGAAAGGTCCACAGGCTTTTTAATGGTGTGATGGCTACTTCCCTTCCAAGACCCGATCTAATCATGACAGCGGCTTCCAGGGTGTCGGGGTGGGGGTGGGCTGGTGCAGGGCGGGCAGAGGCCATGCAGTGACTGGGAAGAGGTGGGGAAGGGTGTTACATTCTGTTTGGCGTGTAAACATTCTTCAGTGGCTTCCCTGGGGGAGGGGAAGGGCATCTCCCTGCCCCCGCCCAACTCCATGCCCGCCAGGGCTGATCCCCAGAGCTGAGAAGACTGAGCCAGGCCCCAGTAAGGGGCTGGGAAAGGGGGAGCCCATGTGCCTGGGGCACGGCCCTTCTCCTACACCCGCTTCGTAAACAGTGTGGCTTGGGAGGGGAGGCATGTTCTGGGGTGAGCAGACCTGCATCTGAGCCAATGACACAGGTTGTGGTAATGGGGAAGTGCTAGAGGGGTGAGGTGTGACACTCTTACAGGGAAGGGGTTTGGGACCAGGACAGCTTGGTGGAGGGGATAGGTGCTCGGTGGAGGGGATGGGTGCTCGAGGGGAAAGAGGCTGCTGCTGGGGGTAGGAACACGGGGAGGTGTGGTTTCCTCTGCCCTGGATCCTTCCTGGGGAGAGGAGCAGAGACAGTCCCCTGGTCCCCTCCACAGTCGCCCCTTCCCCTCCTTCCCTCAGTGACATTCAATGACGCAGAGGCCCGAGGACAGATGGGAGCCCTGGGGAGGTCTGGAATCCCAAGAGCAGACAGGGTTTTTCGTCTCTGCCCAGCTCCAGTGCTGGGTGAAGCTGGGGGTGGGATGGGTGGGGCTCTCTCAGGCCGCCCCCTTTTCCTCCCAACACCAAACCAGGGTGTTGTTGGTCCTGGGGCAGGGGTGAAGCTGGGGGCCCTACATTCACGGTTCGGTTGGTGGCAAGGAGCAGGCCCAGGACCTGGGCACTGGGGGTCATGCCCTGGTCCCCACCTGGCACGAGCTGATTGTCATTCGGAGAAGCTCTAGGTGGGAGGGAGTGGCCCCTCTTCCACCCTCTCTGCTGGACCCAGAGGGCAGTAGAGGCCTTGGGAGGGTCTCGGGTTGACAAAGAGGGCTCTGTCCGGAGAGGTTTCCTGAGTGTTCTGGGAGCTTCTGTGTCAGCATGAGATGGACCTTGTCCAACCTGGAGTCCTCCCCTGGGCTCGTTTGCAGAGAAGCCACCACCTTGGTGTGGGAAGAGCTGCCCGAGCCTGCTGACTCTCCAACATAGGCTTCAGCAACCACCAGGCTGCTTCCAGAGCCAACTTCCTCACGGGCGTCCTTCTAAGTGATGGTGGCTTGATGCTGCCAGACAGCTGGGGCATGTTGGGGTCTTTCTTCCTCTTCCCCTGGTTGCCTTGCCTTGCTTGTGGGACCCAGAGAAGAACAGAGGGGCCAGGCCAGAGGACAGAGGCTGAGGGTGCTGAGGACTGAGGAGGCCTGCAGGGGACCTGTCCCAGATAGACAGTTTGACACTTCTGCAGCCAGGGTGCTGCTTGGCCCAGACCGAGGCAGTTGAGGCTTGTGATGAGGTGGGATGAGCTATGTAGGAGCCAGACCCAGAGGAAGCCCCATATCCATTCATGGAGCACCACAGCCCTCACCCTCTGCAGGGACAGCTCAGCTGCATGGGCTGGGGTTAGTACAAGAAGGGACAGGCTGAAGGGTGAGCTGGGGGAGAAGGGGACTTGGGTCGGACCCATCACACAAGCACACAATCTGGAAGTTAGAAAGGCCTTTCCACCTTGAGTCCAGGGGCCAGCTGTCTACCTGCCTGTTTCTGCTTTCTCTACCCACTGGGGAAGATGATGGTCTGATCCAGCCTCCTCCCCATCCCCAGGAGGACAGAAAGTGTGACCCGGCCAGAACTGAGTCCCTGAATCTCTAAATGGCCAGTGCAGAGAAGATGAAAACCAGCCATTCTCCACCTCCACTGAACTCAAGAGAGAGGGAGGTTGGCTGAAACTGCAGCCGGCAGGGTTGAGGTTAGATGGCAAGAAGGAATTCCTGATGGTGAGGGGTCCTGAGCACTAGATCAGGAGGCCAAGGGAGAGGGTGAAACCTTTTTTAAAGCCCCCCTCCAACTTCCCATTGGGAAACATGTGCCCAGGAAGGCAGCCCACACACACACTCTACGGTTCCAACTGAGGACCCACCCAAATTTATGGGGAGGAAAACTTTGCACTCTGGGGGTACAGGAGAGCAGCCCCCCAATCACCTGCCCACTACCTCCCACAGGGGTGTCCAGGATGGAGCTGAATTTGGGCTGGTCAGACCTGCCCTCTCACACCTGAGTAGACCAGTGGTCCCTAGGTCCCAGCTCCCCAACCCCAGCCTGGTAGCTAAGGGGACCACCACAGCTCCCAGGAGATTGTGGGGTTGGCTGGAACTTCCACTTCCGGAATTTGAGGCTGCCTTTCCGTGCAGGTGGGCTTGGGCTGGAAGAAGGCCGGGAAGAGGGGAAGGCGCCGCAGGTGGTGTAAGCAGAGGTCCCTGGAGGAGCACGGAGAGCAGCAGAGGCCTGGCGGGTGGGCGAAGGGGTGGGGGAGGGCGTCCCCATTACTGGAGTCCTCGGTGAAAAAGTGGCTGAGCCTTCCCCGGGGCCAAGGGTGAGCCTGCCCCACCCGAAGGGCGGCAGGGGGAGGGCAGGGGTCACGGAGATGGGGCAGAGGACGGGGGTTGGGCCCTCCCCCCGCGGCGCGGCGCCCCCCTCCGGCCCGGCCGGGGGGCGGGCGCGGCGAGTGCTGGCGCGCGTCCTCGCGGGTGCAGGCGGGAAGCTGGGGCCGCGGGTGGCGCGCGTCAGGCGCGTAAGGCTGTGCTGGGAGCTGTTTCAGTGTGGCCGGCTGCGGGTGGGGGGCCGGGGTGAGGGTGGGGGGCCGCGGAGAGCCGCGCGCGTCATTATCTGGCCCCAGCCCGGCCCTCCGCAACCCCCGCCCGGCCTTTGGTTGCTGCGCGCTGAGTCTGGAGTTTCCCTCTGGGTCCTTTCTTGGGCCCCCCCGGGGAGGGGGTGCCATCAGGCTGGGCCCGGGCCTGCGGGGCGCCCCGAGGCGGGGGCCCAGTGGGCCGGGCCTGGTGCGAGGGGGAGGAGCTCTCCTTGCGGGACAGGGACTGGCTCCGGGGGGACGCGCTGGGGTGGCGCGGCGCGGCAGGGGCGGAGGGGCCTGGACTGCGCGGGGCAGGGGGCCTGGTGCCGGCTGGGGCTCTCCCGGGCCCTGGGCCCCGGCCGGGGGGCTGTTTGGGGCGGAGATCAGCAGCGACGGCCGACCCTGGAGGCTTCTGCAACTGGAGCCTGTGGGACAAGGAGAGGGGGCAGAAGGCAAGAGAAAAGAGAAGGGCAAAGAAACAAAAAGGGAGAGACATTTTCAGAATCGCTGAACACTCAGCGGGGAGCCTGCTTCTCCCTCTCCCTCTGCTTGCTCCTCTGCCTACTTGTGCTCTGTCTCTGTCAAAATAAAGAGATAAAATCTTTTTTTTTTTTTTTTTTTTTTTTTTTTAATCGCTGAGCGCTGAGCCCTGGAGCCCTGCGTCTTCAGACCTGGGTGAGGCTGTGGAGACCAGGCACAGGTGGATAAACTAGGGCTGGTGCTCCGTCCTCCTGGGCAGGACCTCTAGGGGCCACAGGCTCCTGAGACTGCTACCTGGCCTCTCTGTTTCATCTTTAAAATTCTCATGGATTTTACATTCTACTCTACCACCCACCCGTGTTTACATCGGTATGAATAATGTTTTCTCCCAACTACTCTGGTCTTTAACCTTTGGCTTCAAATGCCTCATGGCACACCAGAGGATGTGTGTGAGCCCCACTGGCCCCCATTCACCTTCCCCAAGCTTGGCGTCCCGATGACCCCTCTAGACATGTTCACTGTAGCCACTCCCTTGAGCCCAGTGACAGGGCTGGAACCTGAGTGGGAGGAGACAGCTGGGGAGGTGGAGAACAGGAAGTGTCCTTCTCCGCATCCTTGCTAGGCCCTGACCTTGGCTCTGGGGAAGCTCCCGCAGTTGGAGGCCTTCTGCAGTCACCATCTGGCCACCGTAGGGCCAGCTGTGGTTTCTCACCTGCTGGTGATGGCTGTGTCGGAGGCGGGGGCAGCGCCATGGGGTCTGCTGGCAGCAGAAGGCTGCTGGGCTGCGGCAGGCGTGGGCATGCGGATGCTGATGGGACGGGGAATCCGGCTCCGGGTGGCGGCTGCCCGCCCAGCCTTCCTGGGGGCAGCAGGCTCCGAGGCAGGCGTGTCCTCCTCGGAGCCAGTGCCGGAGAGCGTCTCTGAAGCCCGGCGCTGCTCCTCACTGGAGGAGGACGAGGCCCCGGAGGCCAGCCGCAAGAGCAGGCGGCCCTGCCTCTTCTCCATCACCAGCCGCGCCAGGTCCTGCTGTGGCCGGACCCTCTTGCCCCACCGCTCTTTGGCCGACAGGGAACCTGAGGGCTCCGAGCCTGTGTCCTCCTCAGACAGCAGGACAGGGATCCGGCTCCTGGGGCGAGCGCCTGCCATGGCGTGGCGGCTGGGGGAGATGGTGGCCAGTTTCTCGGGGCCTGGCTCCAGCGGGGACACTGGAGTTGGCCCGTTGGCAAGGGCTGGGCCACTGGGCAGTGAGTCTGTGGCCACCTCCGGGGGGGGTGTCCCCGGGAGGGCTAGCCAGAGCACCGCTCTCCAGCCCTGACTGGGCAATGCCGTTCTCTAGGGGCAGGGAGGCCCCCTCCTCCACAGCCCTCCCATCAGAGGGCGCCTCCAGGCCCAGTTCACCCCCAGCGCCCAGCTCCTCAGGCCGGGTCGCTTGTCCGCCGGAAGACATGACGTTGAGGTGGGTTTTCTCCGCAATGTGCACAAAGGTCCTCTCAACTTTGGTGAAGGGTGAGGAGGTGACGGCCACCCCTCCCGCCCCTGTGGTCACTGCCCCGGCCCCCTGCCCCGTCCCAGGTCCAGGGGGCTTGGGCTCAGACTTGAGGACAGAGGACAGGGTGCCCGGCTCAGACACGTCCAGCTGGCTGCCAGTGGGCTGGGGCCGCTCTTGCTGAGGAGTGAGGGCAGCCAGAGTGCCCAGGTCAGGGTCGGGGGCCAGGTCGGCAGTGACGGGCGACTTCTTCATGTCACCAGGGGAGACGAGCACCAGCGTTTTGGAGCCCTCCTCCGGCTCCAGGTCCCCGTCAGCCATGGAGGCCCGGCCCCTGGACTCCTTCTGGTCGTCAGCCAGCAGCGTGGATGGGGCACCCTCCTGACTCCGGTCTGTGCTCCTTTCACTCCCCTCACTGCTAGAGCCACTGCGAGGCCCCAGCACCTCCCCTAGAGCCACTGCTTCCTCCTCCTCCTCCTCCTCCTCTTCCTCTTCCTCCTCTTCCTCCTCCTCTTCCTCCTCCTCCTCCTCTTCCTCCTCCTCCTCCTCCTCCTCCTCTTCCTCCTCCTCTTCCTCCTCCTCTTCTTCCTCCTCCTCTTCCTCTTCATCCTTCCCATTAGCTTGAGGCTGAACAGGAGCCAGTGGTACCTGGGGGGTGGTGAGCAGCATGTGGGAGAAGCCCACCCTCCGGACCCTGTTGAGCAACCGAGCCCGTTCTCGGTAATCAGAGAGATCTTTCTTGAAGTCCTGGTAGGGCAGGCTCAGAGGCACAGCTCGCGGGAGACCATTGACCTCAAACGGGGGCGCCACGGAGAACACCTGCAAGGGGCACACACAAGGATTCGCTGATGTCACCTGCCCTGCAGGGCCCGATGACACCAGCACTGCACCCACAAGCTGGGAGGCCCACATGCCCAGGTGCATGCGCCAGAAATTGTGCTCCCTGAGGCTGAGCACTGGGTCTGTCTTGTTCATTGCTCTATCCCCCAAGGCCTAGACGGGTCCCTGGCACCTAGTGAGTGCTCAGAAAGTCTCTGAGGAAGGATTGTGGCATGCTCCAGCTCCCCCTGAGGTCCCTGGCCCCGAAGCTGGCAGTTCCTGTCTCCCATCTCCCACCTCCTTCACTCTCGTCCCTGCCTCTGAAACCCAGAGTCAGCTTTAGTTCAATCAATAGAAGACAATGACAGCAGCAAGGCATCAGAGGCACGGTGTGGATCTCCCTTTGACAGAGGACGAAACCAGGTCCAGAAGGAGTGACAAGCGTCTGGGTCAGCCCTTGCTGACTCCTTACAGGACAGGGTTTCTCTGCAGTCAAGGAGCTGGCCACCAGGGCTATCAGAGCCTGTGTAGGAATAGGGCAAAGTTCAGCTGTCCTCCACCCCAAAATGCAGGCTGGGTGCCATTGGAGCTCCAGCGCCCTCTTCCCTCCTGCCCTTTCCTGGCCTCTTGCTCAGGAATTCTCCAGCCCTCCCCAGCTGTGTGTTGAGTCCACAGTTCCTCCGGGAATTTGCAGCTAGCTTACAAAAGGCAGTTTCTTTCCACTTGATTTAGTTTTCCCTTTTGAAACTTTGGGCAGAGCCCTTGGCAATGTGATGGCCTATGTTCTTGGTTTTCTGGACTCCTGCCACGTCTCCCCTTAGCCTTCCAGACTAAGGATCCTTTCAGACTAGAAAGGCCTGATCACCCTGTCAGGACCTCAGCCCTTGCATCTTCTCCAGCTCTGACCTAGTCAACACACGCACACACACACACGCACATGCACACTCACGCACGCATCTCTAGCACCCCTAGTGACCAGGCCCCACCCGGGGCTGACAAGCACCCCTAGTGACCAGGCCCCACCCGGGGCTGACATAGCTTCGTTTCAGGTGGGGATGGAGCTGACAGCGTCCAGTGCTTTGTCAGCCTTTTTGAACATGCTGGGCCCTGTCTTCCTAAACACAGCCCCTCCAGATCAGAAGCCCCAGAGATCGGACACCTCCAACACCTCCACGTGCCATCCAGACTTGCAGGGAGTCCTGCTGAGTATTCTTCAACCTCTGCGCCTGCTGCCTCAGCTGTAGGGGCACAGCCCTAACGGGACCAGGGGGCCAAGGAGGGGGGGTTCCCCAGGCACTGGCTTGTTCTCTCCCGCCCACCTAACCATTCTCCCTACAGCTGCTAGAGGGATCTTCCTGAAACTGAAATCTGATCCTATCTCTCTGCTTCCAACTTGCAGAAACCTACAATAGCCCCCACAGTCCTCAGGGGACAGTTCCAATTCTAGGCTGGGCACTTGGCAACCCTGCCCCGCCCCCATGACCTGGCTCCTCCCCTTCTGCTCTGCGCTCACTCTGAGCTGCGCCCTGGGATCCTTGCCCTGTGCGCTTGCCTGCTGATGCCACCAGCAGTTCCCTAAGTGCTAGTCACTTCTCACACCGCTGTCTTTCCCTCTGGTGGTCCCCGCTGCCTGGGGATCCTGTCACTCCCTCTACTCACATGACAAATACCTCCTCCAGGACTGAGCTCAACCAATCTTTCAGAAAACCTTCCTGTCCACCCACCAAGCAGGCATCATCAACCCCCTTTCTACTTGTTTTCTCACATCCCGCTAGAGACACCACCGCGCCCCTTGAGGGCCTGATCTGGCCTTTCTCTCTCTCTCTCTCTCTCTCTCTCTCTCTCGTTCTTCCTTTCTCTTTTTCTTTCTTTCTAGAAGAAGTCCTGGGATGTCTATTGTCCTGGCCAAGATGGTAGAGGCCGTGAATCCGTGGGTCACATACTGAACAAGACAGATGTGGTCCTTGTTTTCACAGAGTGTGCAGTCTCTCTATTAGGAAATAATATGGGTTTGCAACGATGTGGATGGAACTTGAGGGTATTAGGCTAAGTGAAATTAGTCAATTAGAGAAAGACAAATATCACATGATCTCACTGCTATGCGGAATTTAAGAAACAAAACAGAGGATCATAAGAGAAGGGAGAGAAAGATAAAATAAGATGAAATCAGAGAGGGAGACAAACCAACCATAAGAGACTCAATCATAGGAAACAAACTGAGGGTTGCTGGAGGGAAGGGGGGTGGAGGATAGGGTAACTGGGTGATGGGCATTAAGGAGGGCACCGGATGGAATGAGCACTGGGTGTTCTGTAAGACTGATGAATCACTAACCTCTACCTCTGAAACCAAAAATACACTATATGTTAATTAATTTAATTTAAATTTTTAAAAAAACTACATTTGACCAAAAAAGAGGGGGGATGAAATTGCGATAATGCACACTCCACAGAGATTGTGATCATAAATGAGGTCAGATAAGCAATGGTCTGGCATATAGCTCAATACTCAGATACTCAATAAATGTCAGTTCCCTCCCAGCCTGCCTCCTGCCCTCTGCCCTGCTCCCTGGTCTGGAGATCACTGCCTCCCTCTCCAACCCCAGCAATGCACCGATGCCGCACCCATGGGAGAGAGAGTGGTGAGAAAAGGAGGGGCTCTCCCAGCTGAGGCCAATTAGCAAGCAGCCAGAAGGCAGGTGGAGGGGAAGGTGGGAATCCCCCAAGCTGAGGCTCTGCCCAAGGTTGTGACTTCTCCCTTCCTCAACTGCCATAATCTTTCTCATGGTCAGACCATCTATGAGGACTGATAATGGTGGAGGGGGGGCGCAAGATGGGGTAGTATCAGACCCCAGGCAGGACACTTGCCCACCCTGTCTGAGCCAGGCAGGGGACTTCCTTAGTGCTTAGTCTTCTTCACATCCAGGCCGAAGTCCCTGGCAATTGTTTTATTTTTCTACACCATTCCCATTATTCATTCATTCATTCATTCATTCATTTATTCAACAAACATTAAGCCCCGGTTCTGTGCCAGGCCGTGTGCTGCAGCCCTCTGCCATGCTCAGTTACCAACAGTAAGGCTAAAGACTAGGCAGAGGTGGAGGGGTGCTGTGAGGTCCTGGGTGTGTCGTGACTGTGGTGTAGGTGCCAAGGACCTATAGAGAGACACAGCTCTGATCATGTCTCCCTCCTGTCCAGCTCAGAACTCACCCACCCAACACCAGATGCATCCCACCCAGTCTCTGCCTGTTTTCTCTGTCCCATCTCTGACACTTTGAGCATCCTTCTGGCCAGGCCCTGGATCTCTTTAGAAAATCCCATCTGTAGGACAGACCCTCCACTCACAGTGTCTGTGTTAGATCATCATAGCTTGAACCTTCTCTCTTCCATCTCAAAGCCCTCCCCTTCCTCTTCACGGGAAGGAGGGGGAATAAGAACTGAAATCAGGCTTCAGTGACAAGGTCAGAATAGGACACAGGCCTAGAGAGAGCCACTGGCATGCCCACTTCACAAAGCGCATCAACCAAGGTGGCTCAGAATCCCAAACTCTTTCCATTGCCTCACTGGCCTCCCACCCTCCCATGCAGGGAAACCTGGTATCCTGTGCCCTTTAGCAGGAAGAGCCATGAATCTCAGAGTGGAGACAGCTTTGCCCTAAGGATCACTGACAAGCCCACCGGCCAGCTGGCATCTGGACCTGCTGTGTTTCCCAATTCAGGATCCCTCCACACCTCCCCATGTGGCTCCTTGTTGGGGAGGGCAGGCCTGGGCTCAATTCCTCCCTCCTCAGAGAGGGGGAAGTCCTCCTTCACCCCCACCCAGCCTCTCCTGAATGCCTGTGCCCAGTGACTATTCATGCATTTGCCCATGCTACCCTGTGCTCATTCATTCAGCCTCGATCCTTAGCCAGCCTCTGTGTGCTTGGTCCAGAAGGCTGGCAGACACCATGAGAGGGGGATACCAGTGACACTCTCCCATTCCAGCTCAGGGGGCAGCAAGCCTACTGCGTTTCAGCAAGGGAAAATCAGGGCCTGCGGGAACTCACGTCTTCCTACTCCCTTTCCAGAGCAGCAATCCTTTATGATTCCAATTATATTTGTGGTTCTCCGGCTTGGCTTGGTACAGCATTATCTAGGGGAGCTTTTTAAAAACCTACAGAGCCCTGAGTCCCACTCCCCTTGCCCCCAGATTCAGGTCCAAGATGAGGCCCAGAAATCTTTTAAAGCTCCCTGGTGATTCTGAGGGAATGTCTGATGCGGTAAGGGTAAGTCATGGAGGAGGGGAGGCAGGCTGCTGGAGCTGAGACCCTCAGAGAGAATGAAAGCCCTAGCCCTCCCCTTGCCTCCATGGAGTCCAGACCCAAAGACTTCGGCTTCACCAACTTCAGAGCTCAGCCAAGTCCATGTTTACTCCAGTCAGCAGGAAAAGTGGAGGGAGGTGGATGGACCCGCCTCTGATCTTTTCCTGCCACCAAAACTGGTCTCTCCTCAGCCTTGAATTGCCTGACACTAGCAACACCCCCAGGGGTGGGTTTGTCCACATACCCCCATTCCCCAGACAGAGTACAGAGAGCGGCTCTCCTGCTTGGACCCTGGCCAAGCCCAGACATAGCACACTGCACTTCAGCCCACAGTCCCAAGGTCAAAGAAGGGGGACTGTTGAGTGACCAAAGCCGGAGGATGGACCATGACCCTTTCCCCCTCCCAACAAGCCTCTCACAGCAGTGCTCCCCTTCCTTCTCCCTCAGCAGTCACCCCCGGCACCCTTTCCATCTCTCCTCCCCAGGGGAGCCCCCAATTGCCATAATTTCCCCACCTGAAAACCAGAGACGTTGGCAGTGTGGTCCCCTTTGCCCACCACCAGCTTCCCCAGATTTCTCACCTGTCGTCGGTCTGTCTGTCTGGGTCTGCACACTCAAACCACATCTGCCAAGCCAGGAGCCCTCCAGCCCTCCCTCTGCTCCTCCACCCTACACCCAGGGGTGCCACCCACCCTGGCACACT